CTTCCAGCGGTGTGAGGGCAGCATGATTACCCTAAAAAGATACAACATTGCCATATTTATTACAGATTATTAAGTCTATTTTTTGTAATACCAATGTACAGACTATAACCTTATCTCCCAAATATGACAATATAATAAATTTTCATACATGTTAATAAAGAGCGAATATTTATTATAGATATTAATATCAGATTCTTGTACAATAACGTACTTTTCTCTCGTAAATAATCTCTTCAGGTAGTACACATAATGTTTTCTTCGAGCTCTGACTCTATAAAATAAAATGTAATGTCGCATAACTATCTTTGAATTTCTTAGACTCTGCTATTTTCATCTGCTTCTTTTTACAAATATTAGAACATATACTTAATACATTCTCATGCTCTTAACATAAATAAGCATTGCATATCATTCTGATATTAGAAATAGCAATTGTATTTGACATTAGCGTTAACTTGTAGTACTTATATGGACATACTTTTCTATCATTACTAATCCTTTTAGATTACATTCCAGACAAATTCTCTAAACTCTGTGCATAAAATGAAGCTTAACGCTGATGTTTCAACTCGCTTTGTCTCTCGAAAACTCCCTTTTATCCTCGCATCACTCTTTGAGCCTGGAGTTAACCACAAAAACCGCACCCAGCTCCTACCTCGGAAATCGTGAGGACGGGCAGTCGCATCCTCGTTCCGTTTCGTAGCCACAATCGCTCTTCGATCAAGAATCGTGACGCAGGGAACTGATTTTCGAGAGAAGATCGCAAGACGGACGACCAAGCGAAACACTTTTCACGACCGAAGGGATGACAGCAAGATGAGCCAGAAAGAGGCGCTTGTGAGCGAGAGAGATGCAAAGAAAAAAAAGAGAGAAAGAGAACGCATGGAGGATGGACTCACCAGTGGCATTTTGAGCTTCGTCTTGCCGGTTGGTTGCCGTACGCTCCCGACGAAAGCCGAGCTCGACCGTTGCCGTCGCGCTCGCGTTTGCCGTGATTTCTTCGATGCGAATCGACGCGACGAGGACTCGGACTCGAAAAATCGGCCGAGGGACCGCTGTCGTCTGCACGCACACGAACAGACTCCACGACTCCGCAACTCGCGACCGCCATGAACGATGCGCGCGCATGCGAAATGCGATATTCGCTTTTCTCCCGCCCCGCTCTTCATCAAACATTTCATACCATTTCACTGTCCGACAAATTTAAACTTTTTTTTTAGACCACTGAAGGGATCAAGTGATTCTTATTAAGATTTTTTACATTTTACGTGGGCCACTTTGTATATAGAATCAAAATTTTCAGCTTGAAAATAAATTATTTGCTTTAAAAATGACTTTCCACGCGAAGCGAGTTATTAATAAAAATATTGTGTCTGTGATTATAAGTCCTCACAGACACAAAATTATTTACATTGTCTATGTTAAGTGATACTGCGCCGATGATCTTGACTTTGGCATATGTTGTCAAGGTCATGATTCTGACAAGGGAAGTTTCACAACTGTCCGGAACCGATTTGATTCTCCATGAAATATGTTGTTAGGGCCACTGTCACCAAGCTCAGTTGATGATAACTAGGCCAGTTAGTCCATCAGAATTGACCAATCGCATTTGTCATTTTGTTTGAAGAATTGACAGATTGATGAATTCCGATTAATTGGCCCAGTTAAGTTAACTGAGCTTGGTAACAATGGCCCTTAAACACTAAATCTAAGAGACACGTATTTTTTTATACGTGCGCTAACTCGTGTTTAAGGAGTGAAACATCCCTTTGGAAAAAAAAAAACGGTATTTCTATTTCGAGTCGAATACGTCGGAAGTATAAAAGATGGAAAACAATTTTTTAAACAAAAGTTGTACGGTTTCAAGAGTACTTCAATGTGTGAAGAAAAAAATTTTTTAACTTTTTTGTTTAACAATTGTCAGACACCTCGAATATTACTTTGGAAACATAACCAAAAAATGTCAACGAAACTTTTTATTAACTTCTTCTTAATCCTTTTTTTTTACTGTTAAATAAAAAAGACATGAGTCTCATGTCTTTTTTATCATCTCACTAATTAACAATATCAGTTGATACGGCTTCAAACAACACAACGAAACATATATTATACATGTATATACACATGTGCATTCGCGCAGCGTTTAGTGGCGCGTCACCCGGCGACGATGGCTGCGTTCAGCAGAGAAAGCAGCTTTGCAACTGTTGTAAAATTCTTCAATACGATTGGTTCTTGCTTTTGGTTCCTTACAGATCTAAACGTATAAACCAATGGCTGCGTTCAGCAGACTCAACAGTTTTGCCACCGTTTTATGATTGTCTGCTGAGATAGGACCATTCTTTTAGATCTAAAAGTATGATCCAATTAGCGCGAAGGAAACTTCCAACAGTTGCAAAACAAACGTTCTGCTGAACGCACCCATTGTGTTTAGATCATGGACATAGGCTACGTTTACACCGTGCGCTTAGTCCGCGACCTATACGATAGGTGTCTTTGTTTAACCTACAGGATAAACAAGGACATCTATTGTATAGGCCGCGGCCTAAATGCACGGTGTAAACGTAGCCATAGGAATAACGGGACGGAGTATAAACCTGTACTTAGGCGAGGGGAGTGAAGCCGCTTCACGGGGGAAGGACTGTAGTCACGTGGTACATTTGGTGCCGCATTAGTGATTGGTTCTAGCATAAACGCGCGAAATTGCAAACTTTTGTTTCTAGTTCATTTGCAATTATAAATGTTGTGATAAGATATTTTGAAAATAAACAGAGAGAAAGAGAAAGAGAGAGAGAATGTTTTATTTATAAACCATCATATATCGATATTGAAGCATTAATGTCTTATATAAATATATACCTCAATCAAGGTTAAAAAGTACTAAATAGTTAGAAGTTAGAATCTATAAATATAAATATCTCTAATGTTTTTATTTGTATTTATTTAACTTTTTAATTGTGTAATAAATTTAATATATTTTCAATCTTACTAAATGAGATGTATAAATATAAATGAAACATTATTCTATTCAAGCACATAAGTAGACAGAAGAATTATGTATAAAGAAACGTGTAAGGTTGTAATAAACTGCATAATGTTGTAAATTATATACAATATATTAGGTATTGAACTTAATTCCTGCCGCTCGCTATTAGAGAGTGCTGGCTCCAACGCTGGCGAGTTTCGACGATGAAGTCATATGTCTTTTGTAGTTTAGACATCGCTGAAAGTGATTCAATCCTTACAGATTAGATTTCTCGACGCCAAAGAGATTTTCCAATCGATTGAAAATGATCATCCGTAGCCAACAATCGACGCAAAGTCATTTTGTTGCATAACGCTCGATCGCATGTCGCGAAAAGCGTGAAGCAGACACTTCTAGAGCTTGAATGGGAAGTTCTCCCGCATCCACCGTACTCTCCAGACTTGGCACCGTCAGATTACCATCTCTTTCGATCGATGCAACACGCACTTACGGACACACACTTCTCCAGTTACAACGAAGTCCAAAAATGAGTGGATGAATGGATCGCCTCGAAAGATACCGCGTTCTACCGTCGTGGGATTGCCCTGTTGCCAGAGAGATGGAAAAAAATAGTAGAAAATGGAGGAAATTACTTTTATTAAGATATTCATTCATCTTCTCTTCGAAACAAATCAATTTTGGAGACGAAAATACGGCAGGAATTAAGTTCAACACCTAATACTATAAACCAGGATTGTACATAACGCTATTACCAATATGTTACCGAAATAAAAGTAACGTGTTATTTTTCAATTCTGATAATAATACTATTTCATACCTATATACGGTAGTGCATTTAGTTTTAGTCTCTTCGTACCAGATAAAAAATCAAATGAATTTTCATTAAAATGCTTAGAACAAATTCTAGCACCAGGTGGGATTGGTGGTTCTAGGAGGGTATCGAATTCCGCGGCAGTTACAATGTTAACAGATTTGATTAATTACTACGCCATTAATTACTAAGTACGTATAATATATTGATAGATTATATAAATACTTCATGATGCGCAACAATATATTTTTATTTATTTATTTCACAATAATGATATTATAATATTTTGTGAGACGGTTCATTATGTGAATACCAATAGATACATTTTATCAGACCAAAACATTATATGTCGATCGATACGCATTACCTCAAACGGATAGTAACTTATTTCCATTAGCAAGCAGATAGTCCATAATAAATTTCTCACATGCTTACTTTGGAACGGCCAGAGATCCTGGGATCGATAAAAATACTCGATTTATGTTGTACTCTTGCAGAAAATTCGTTAACATCACTAATATTTGCTCTGCGATATACAAAGGTGTAATGATACAAAGCGTATTGTCGACTGATCACAGATACATATTTGAATATACAAATTGCAGACAAAAAACACTATGTCGTGCGATGTCAGTAATTGTCAGTAATTGTCAGTGGTTATCTCTCTCTTCCCCAATGATTGATATAATGTGTCTATGTAGCGATACTAAACCATCACTTTGATCATCTTCAAAAGTTTTTTCTGTTGAACATCTAGTATTATATTTATACATCTATTATATAGTAACATAAGTATAGTATGGATAAATTATAGTGTAGCACATATTGTAACGAGATGATTGAGGGTGACAATAATAGCGAAGTAAATGCAAGGTGCTTTCTTGTTTTCTAGCTGTAATGAAAATTCTTTTCTAGAATATTTTTTTTAGTCGATTTTAAATACTTTCAAATACAAGCGAGTTTCTTTGAAAATACTAAATAGAAATGAAGCGATATGGAGTAAATCCGAAGTTATATGTAATCATCCAAAGAAACAGCTAAAAAAATTATAAAAATATGAAAAGAGGAGGTAAGATTAAATTAAAAATTTTTTAAATTAAATGTATCATTGAAATACAATTTATTGACATTAATTAGAACATATCAAAACATACAGAAATGGTGAATAGTTAGTTGAAAATTGAGTAACATTATTCACTGAATGACCTAAACGCTGCAAAGTAAGACATGGCAATTCGTACCACCTTAAATCGAATATAAAAATAGACATGAATTGCTTTATATATATATATATATGTCATAAAAAGGCGGCCTCATATATCTTTGTGCATTTTACTTACCGCAGCATAGGTCGCGATGGATAACGGAATCATATTACCTGCCTTCAATCCACATGGAATATTACTTCTGTAAAGAGTCATCATCAGCAAATATTTTAATCGAGGTGAAAATTTATACCATTCAGCAGCATATCTGTAACCATTAATAATAATCGTATTTAACTAAATTTTCGAAAAAAATTTTTTTAATGTACTTTGCAAAAGTTAAAATAATTAACTTATATAATACTTTGTATTTTAATTATATTTTTACAATGATAAGCGAAAATTAACCAAAAAAATGTTCCAGCTTCAGTCTCTAATACAAAGTCTATAATAGAAGTCGTAGGGTCTTAAGTCGTAGAAGATGACCAATCATAGTTGATTCTTCTCATATTTGACTGTGATTGGTTAATTTTCGATAACTTAAGATCTTAAGATCGCTATGACTTCTATTGTAGACTGTTTTAAAAACGGCAACTCGACGTGCAATTTATTTGAATTGAAATAATAAAAATTCATAAAAATTTATTAAACCAAGATCGGCCTTCACTAAATATAGTTCTCCTTATTTATTAATATATTTTTTGAATTATATTCTATTTAAAGTATTTTAAATTAAAATTGAACAAACTTTACATTTAATAGATCTTTCGAATGTGCTTGTAGCACTATATTATTATTTTTGTTTAAAATTTATTCTTACAATCACTAAAGAATATGTGTTAAAGTATAAAATAAATATTACGCTCGATAAAATATATTCTGACTTTCATCCATTAATCTTTGACCAGAGTAACATATGATCATCAAGTCAATTAACATTGCGGTAAACATAAATGTGAATTTTATTAATTTTACCAGTTGCGGCATTTGATTTAACACATAAAAAATCTGTAACAAATTAGAATTATTACATAATGGTCTGAGTAATAATTATATTTCAATTTAGAAACATTTTTTTAATTTTGCCATATGTATCGGTAAGGTTTAATATTGATGTAAATTATAATTGTACGCCTTAACCAGTACTGAAGAATTTATATTTTTTAAATTCAAAATTATTTCTTTTATATAAACTCGATTTTATGTTTTTTATCTATTATGAATCAGTTTCACATAAATGTTAGGATATGAATATAAGGAATTATATGCAAGAATAGTAAATACTAACTCGGCCTCAATAAATAAAGAAGGAAAAATCCGATTACATTATTGTTAAGCTCCTTCGTTGAATTCTTGAGTAGAAGGTTTGAGAAACTCGCTCGACTCAATATTAAATGAAACAAAAGTTTATTTGGTTTAATAATATAAGAAATTTCCATAGATTCGAAACAATTCAGTTCTTCAAACAAAATACAATCGCCCAAAGAGCGACAAACGAACGCACTTAATCGATCAATGCGAGATGCGGTTAAACGCGTATCGCTACATTCCTCTCCTAATTAGGTTGAAATCTTCTGGAACGATAGAAACTCTCTTTATAACTCAGACGAGGTTGCCTTAAGAGACGTTCGGAAGGTCAGACATCACTCTCGAAGTATGGAAGCTTGGGATTAGTCAAGTCGCTAATCATAGTTGTAGTTTCACTCGAAGTAGGAGATAAATTTGCAGTCTCGCCTGAAGAAGAGAACACACTGGCAGAATATGCACTAGCAAGATTCTCGGAATCCTCGGATTGCTTCGAGGAAGGGTGGTCCAACGTAGAAGAACAATCTTTGAGGTCTAGGTCTACGTTAGACCTAGATCCATGCGGTTTTCTAGTGGAGAAGGCGTCCAATTCCAAATTTGAAAGAATGAAGTGTCGGATGAAGTACTCTCCTTCGAAACTGACTCGAGCTATGGTGGAGCCAATTAACTTGTCAATTGTTCCTGGAATATGTTTCTCATTAAATAATTTAATAATAACGGGTTGCCCTGGAGCAAAAAAATGTGGCCTAACGCTGTGGTGAAAATCACATTACTGCTTCATTTCCTCCTGTTGTCGAGTAAGAGGAACTACCTGCTGAGAAAAAGATCACGGAAGTAAAAGATCGAACGGAGTTCTGAACTTGCGTTCGCGAAAAAGATTTCTGCAGATTTCTGTTCTGGAGCTGCATCACAAGATGTGTAATTATACGAATAAAGGAAACGATTCATTTCGTCTTCCAAAAATGAAGAATTCAAATCAATTGAACGCTTAATGGTGCCAACCATCCTTTCCGCTTGACTATTTGATTATGGATGCCCGGTCGAGCTCCTCAGATACAAAATATGAACTCGGAGCATAATTGCGCAAAATCTTACGAAGTAAATTGAATTCCATTATTCGAAACTTCTAGTAGCCCATAACGACTGAAAAATCTTCTAAAATAACGGCAGCTTGCATCAACAAACTTTAACAAACTGTCGACTATAATTATTAAAATTTTCCATTGTTTTTGAAATGATCCAGCAAAATCAATATGAATTCGCGCTCAGGATTTATTAGAATTTGACTAAGGATGAAGAGATCCTTTACGAGGAGCTGCCACAGTCTCCAAGCGAGAAAGGAGTATAGGCTATCTCACTCTTCCACCAATAGCGGTGTGTATACATCATGCACACCGCTATTGGTGGAATTTGACGAAATCCTTATGGCCAGTCTCTGATTAAAGGGTCTCTAGTGCGCAGTAGAGATCCTCAAGTAAGAGATGCGCGAACTTCGAGCATTTGCAAGAACATGGCAACCTCCATTATGGCTACGTTTACACCGTGCATTTAGGCCGCAGCCTATACAATAGATGTCCTTGTTTATCTTGTAGGTTAAACAAAGACACCTATCGTAGGTCGCGGACTAAGCGCACGGTATAAACGTAGCCTATGTATCATGTGTGTGTGGAGGTCGCTACGTTCTTGCAAATGCTCGAAGTTCACGCATCTCTTGAGGATATCTAGTGCACAGTATTTCATAGCGCCATCTACCAAGGAGGAGACAACTAATGTCGGCTTCATGGCTTCAGATATAATGGTCGCAGCACAGACTGTTGCATAATGCATAATGTATAGTGTATAAGGGAATCAACCAATTGAAAATCTTCTTTTCTATGGAATGGAAGAAAAGGAAAGATTCTAATTATTAGATTCACTTATGCACTATGCGTTATGCGTTATGCAAAAGTCTGTGCTGCGACCTTAACAATGCAGCTTGGCCGCCTATCATACGAAGTGCATCGTTGCCAAATATACATTCGGCCTCCCGAATAGTTGACAATCTCGCGCGTATATTTGTTAATATTCTATACACTAATAATTTACTAAGAACATAGCACTTAAATAGTATCCACATTTCATTATATCAATATTGCATATACAGAATCGCTGTAATGTCAATTTATTTCAGTTGCATTTTTTACTCTAAACTAAAGTAATAGGCGAATCTCCTTAATCGATTAATAAAGATGCGGTTAAGCGCGTATCACAACAATCATGAGTTCGATCGTTTTATATGATTGCGTCTTTGTAATCCATTATTAGTAAATCTCTTTTTGTAATTCCGCAACTCCTCTAAAATATATCTTCGGGATATTTTAGAGAAATAATTTCTATAATACTTACACGGAGTCCGATTAGACTTATATTTCCAAGAATTAATAGTAATAAAAGTAATGAAAGTCCTTGAAATGATGATTCCAATATATTAACAAATCTAGATTAAAAATTTACAAGTTACGTTAATCCATTCTCAGGTAGAACACGGAATCATAATTAAATCATAATGGTATCACAGGACGTCATCATGATGTCATTTGATATTAAAAAATTGACTTATAAGTGACGAATGAGGTCATGATGATGTCCTCATGACTTCTGTCTTCTGTGTTCTACTTGGGTTGAGGCTCAGGGGAGGCGGAAATAAGAAAACATTTTATTTATAGAAAAACAATTAAGATATAGTATAAAACTTGCTTACTCTAAAGCAAACTGATGTTTCTTTAAACATATTATATATTCCCGGTATATTATTTCCTCATTAAATGGATTAAGTTCCATATTTACACGATATCCACATTTGTTAATCTTATTGTTATTATGAACTTTGGAAATTATATTCTCAATTTGTTTACTGTAAAAATGATATCTTGTAAAAGTTAAATAAAATATATGTATAATGTGTATATGAAAAATGAAACACATACGTTATACAATATATGAATAGAGTATGTATACAAAATGTATACTAAGGTTATAAAATACTTAAAACAATACTATTTATTTATATTTAATTGATCTACCTGACAGCGGCAAATAAACTGCATGCATGAGCGGTGCAGGCCATATGCATTGTATCAACACCAATTGCAATGTTCACACCTATTAGAACTACAATGGTAGTGTAACAAAACATTATTAAAAAGTAATCATCTTTATTCACTCTGAATTCGACTTCGATCGCAAAGACTCGCGGACGTGATTCATTAAGAGGTAGCACTGTGTCTAACAATACTGGTATTAATGGTATTGTCACAAATAATGACAGTATAAAAAACAATAACACTGCAACAATTTGAAAGAATAATGTGTCTTTGTTCACAATAATATCAATCTGAAGTATTTTAGAGCAACATCGTTATTTTTCTTAAAAAATCGGTAATTATACCAAATAGGGGACCCTCCTCCTATGACCTTGACCTTGACATATATTGTCAAGGTCATGATTCTGAATAACCTCCAACAAGTTTTAGCCATCACTCATCCTTCATTAAAAAGTTATTAACAAAAGAAGTTTGAAAAATGATGTTTCTTTTCTACTATATAAAACAGAAATTTTCTACTATGAAATAGATTTTACAACTTTCCACGCAAAGCTACTCCCACCTCACCTCTCCCTTGCTTAAGAGCGCATGACTTCCACGCGAAACAACTCCCACTCCATTTCTCCCTCGACTTAGGGGCACACAACTGCCACGCAAGGCGACTCCCACCCCACGTCCTCACCTGCTTAGGAGCGCACAACTTCCACGCGAAGCTATTCCAACCGTACCTCCGCCCCTGCTTGGGGACGCACGACTTCTACGCCAAACGACTCCCACCCCACCTCCCCCGCTGCTTAGGGGCGCACGACTTCTACGCGAAACGAAAACCATACAAATTTTTTCGCATGGAAGTCGTACGCTCTCAGCAGAGGGGGGAGATGGAATGGGAGTTGCTCGCGTGGAAGTCGTGCAACCCCAAACACAAGAGAGGTGGGATGAAAATAAAAATCTTTGTTTTATATGGTAGAAAAGAGACATCATGTTTCAAACTTCTTTTGTTAATAACTTTTTAATGAAGGACGAGCGACGGCTAAAACCTATTGGAGGTTACTCAGGGTCATGACCTTGACAACATATGTGAAGATCATAGGAGGGGGTTCCTTATTCGGTATATTTACCAAAAAATCCGTTATTATATAACAAAAATGTTATATTTAACGTTATTTTTTTCATAACTTAACTTTATAACGTAGCAAATGTCATGTCTATACTTATAGTCTCAATTTATTTTAGATCATAAAAATTTTAGTTATTTTATTTTGTTTATATGACATAGTTATTCTACATAACGTACTTACTCGAGAAAACTATTGTGAACCTTCGTGACAGCATAGCGTAATCTTTCATGATTCGAACTTCCACATCACTTGTAAATATGTCCCAGTGTTTATCAATGGCTATACATAACTGTTGCAACTGTTTATTATAAATATGGACATGATTTTTACAAACATATTATATGTAAAATAATTTTCTTAACATAAGAATAACGAAAAGAAGTAATGACAATACGATAAAAAATCTGTGAGTTTACTCTGTCCTGATTCCAAATATTATGCAATGCCCTTGCGATAAAAGCAGTCGTGAAAATAAGTTGATAACAGGCATCGAAAACCATTTGTGGATCATTCCAATGATCATACAGCAGTAGTATCTGCATATGTTGAATTATGATTCGTAAATGTATTACAAGTGTGTAGTTGTAAGATCAATCGTATAAAATCGTTTTACTTATTTAGTTAACTGTTAATTTTTAATTATATACATTATGCTGCTAAGATTTGTGCAATAATATTATTATACAGATCTGCTTTACAATGATAATAATATTTTGATAGACGGATCGTTATGAATGTCAGTAGGATGTGTTAAAACATTATCAAATCAATTATATGTATATCGACCGACATACATTACCTCAAACGGATAGTAACTTATTTCCATTAGCAAGCAGACAGTCCGTAATGAATTTCTTACATTCTTACTTTGAAACAGCCAGAGACCTGAGATCGATAAAAATACTCGATTTATGTTGTACTCTCGCAGAAAATTCGCTAGCATCACTAATACTTGCTCTCCGATATACAAAGGTGTAATGTTACAAAGCGTATTGTCGACTGATCACAGATACATATTTGAACATACAAATTGCAGACAAGAAACACTATGTCGTGCGATGTCAGTAATTGTCAGTAATTATCTCTCTCTTCCCCAATGATCAATATGTGTCTATGTAGCGGTACTAAACCATTACTTTGATCATCTTCAAAAGTTTTTTCTGTTGAACATCTAGTATTATATAGTAACATAAGTATAGTATAGGTAAATTATAGTGTAGCACATATTGTAACGAGATGATTGAGGGTGACAAAAATAGCGAAGTAAACGCAAGGTGCTTTCTTGTTTTGTAGCCGTAGTGAAAATTCTTCTTTTCTAGAATATTTCTTAGTCGATTTTAAATACTTTCGAATAGCGAGTTTCTTTGAAAATACAAAATAGAAATAAGCGATATCGAGTAAATCCGAAGTTATATGTAATCATCCAAAGAAACAGCTAAAAAAATTATAAAAATATGAAAAGAGGAGGTGAGATTAAATTTAAAATTTTTTAAATTAAATGTATCATTGAAATACAATTTATTGACATTAATTAGAACATATCAAAACATACAGAAATGGTGAATAGTTAGTTGAAAATTGAGTAACATTATTCACTGAATGACCTAAACGCTGCAAAGTAAGACATGGCAATTCGTACCACCTTAAATCGAATATAAAAATAGACATGAATTGCTTTATATATATATATATATGTGTCATAAAAAGGCGGCCTCATATATCTTTGTGCATTTTACTTACCGCAGCATAGGTCGCGATGGATAACGGAATCACACTACCTGCCTTTAATCCACATGGAATATTACTTCTGTAAAGAGTCATCATTAGTAAAGATTTTAATCGAGGCGAAAATTTGTACCATTCTACAGCATATCTGTAAGCATTAATAATAATCGCCTTTAACTAAATTTTCGAAAAAAAATTTTTTTAATGTATTTTGCAAAAGTTAAAATAATTAACTTACATAATACTTTGTATTTTAATTATATTTTTACAATGATAAGCGAAAATTAATCCAAAAAATGTTCCTTGTATTTTAATTATATTTTTACAATGATAACCGAAAATTAATCCAAAAAAGGTTCAGTCTCTAATATAATAGAAGTATCCATTAGGTTCAGTCTCTAATATAATAGAAGTATCTATAATAGAAGTCGTAGTGGTCGTAGAATCTTAAGTCGCAGAAGATGACCAATCATAGTTCTTCTCATATTTGACTGTGATTGGTTAATTTTCGATTACTTAAGACCTTAAGACCGCTATGATTTGTGATTGGTTAATTTTCGATAACTTAAGACCTTAAGACCGCTATGACTTCCATTGTAGATTGTTTTAAAAACGGCAAATCGACGCGCAATTTACTTGAATTGAAGTAATAAAAATTCATAAAAATTTATTAAACCAAGATCGGCTTTCACTAAATATAGTTCTCTTTACTTATTTATATATTTTTTCAATTATGTTTTATTTAAAGTATTTTAAAATTGAACAAACTTTACATTTAATAGATCTTTCGAAAAAGTGCTTGTAGCACTATATTATTATATTTATTCAAAATTTATTGTTACAATCACTAAAGTATATGTGTTATAGTATAATATAAAATAAATATTACGCTCGATAAAATATATCCTGACTTTCATCCATTAATTTTTCACCAGAGTAACATATGATCATCAAGTCAGTTAACAATGCGATAAATAAAAATATGAATTTTATCAGTTGCGGCGTTTGATTTAACATATAAAAAATCTGTAACAAATTAGAATTATTACATAATTGTCCGAGTAATAATTATATTTCTATTTAGAAACATTTTTTTAATTTTGCGATATGTATCAGTAAGGTTTAATATTGATGTAAATTATAATTGTATAAAACGCCTTAACCAGTACTGAAGAATTTATATTTTTTAAATTCAAAATTATTTCTTTTATATAAACTCGAGAGAGATTTTATGTTTTTTATCTATTATGAATCAGTTTCACATAAATGTTAGGATATGAATATAAGGAATTATATGCAAGAATAGTAAATACTAACTCGGCCGCAATAAATAAAGAAGGAAAAATCCGACTACATTATTGTTAAGCTCCTTCATTGAATTCTTGAGTAGAAGGTTTGAGAAACTCGCTCGACTCAATATTAAATGAAACAAAAGTTTATTTGGTTTAATACAAGAAATTTCCATAGATTCGGAACAATTCAGTTCTTCAAACAAAATACATTTGCCCAAAGAGCGACAAACAAACGCGCTTAATCGATCAATGCGAGATGCGGTTAAACGCGTATCACAACAATTATGAGTTTGATTGTTTTGTATGATTGCGTATTTGTAATCCATTAATCGATAAATCTCTCTTTTTGTAATTCCGCAACTCCTCTAAAATATTTCTTCGGGATATTTTATAGAAATAATTTCTATAATACTTACTCGAACTCCGATTAGACTTATATTTCCGAGAAGTAATAGTAATAAAAGTAATGAAAGTCCTTGAAATGATGATTCCAATATATTAACGAATCTAGATTAAAAATTTACAGGTTACGTTAATCCATTGAAGTTAAGGGGAGGGAGAAAGGAGGAAACATTTTATTCATAGAAAAACAAGATGTAGTATAAAACTTGCTTACTCTAAAGCAAACTGATGTTTCTTTAAACATATTATATATTCCCGGTATATTATTTCCTCATTAAATGGATTAAGCTCCATATTCGCACGATATCCACATTTGTTAATCTTATTGTTATTATAGGCTTTGGAAATTATATTCTCAATTTGTTTACTGTAAAAATGATATCTTGCAAAAGTTAAATAAAATATATGTATAATGTGTGTACGAAAAATGAAACACATACGTCATACAATATATGAATAGAATATGTATACAAAATGTATACTAAGGTTATAAAATACTTAAAACAATACTATTTACCATATTTAATTGATCTACCTGACAGCGGCAAATAAACTACATGCATGAGCGGTGCACGTGATGTGCATTGAATCAACACCAATCAAAATGTTCACACCTATTAGAACTACAATGGTAGTGTAACAAAATATTAGTAAAAAGTAATCATCTTTATTCACTCTGAATTCGACTTCGATCGCAAAGACTCGCGGACGTGATTCATTAAGAGGTAGCACTGTGTCTAACAATACTGGTATTAATGGTATTGTCATAAATATTAACACTATGAAAAACAATAGCACTGCAACATTTCGAAAGAATAATGTTTCTTTGTTCACAATAGTATCAATTTGAAGTATTTTAGAGCAACATCATTATTTTTCTTAAAAAAATTGATAATTGTATCAAATAGGGGACCCCCCCTCCTATGATCTTGACCTTGATATATATTGTCAAGGTCATGATCCTAAATAATCTCCATCAGGTTTTAGCAATCGCTCGTCCTTCATTAAAAAATTATTAACAAAAGAAGTTTGAAAATGTCTCTTTTCTACTATATAAAATAGAAATTTTCTACTTTAAAATATATTTTACAACTTTCCATGCGAAGCTACTCCCATCCCACCTCCCCCACTGCTTAGGGGCGCACGATTTCTACGCGAAGCGAAAACCATACAAATTTTTTCGCCTGGAAGTCGTACGCTCTCAAGCAGAGGGGGGGAGATGGGATGGGAATTGCTCGCGTGGAAGTCGTGCAACCCCAAACAGAAGGAAAGTGGGATGAGAATAAAAATCTTTGTGTTATATGGTAGAAAAAAGACATCATGTTTCAAACTTCTTTTGTTAATAACTTTTTAATGAAAGACGAGCGACGGCTAAAACCTATTGGAAGTTACTCAGGGTCATGACCTTGACAACATATGTGAAGATCATAGGAGGGGGTTCCTTATTCGGTATATTTACCAAAAAATCCGTTATTATATAACAAAAATGTTATATTTAACGTTATTTTTTTCATAACTTAACTTTATAACGTAGCAAATGTCATGTCTATACTTATAGTCTCAATTTATTTTAGATCATAAAAATTTTAGTTATTTTATTTTGTTTATATGACATAGTTATTCTACATAACGTACTTACTCGAGAAAACTATTGTGAACCTTCGTGACAGCATAGCGTAATCTTTCATGATTCGAACTTCCACATCACTTGTAAATATGTCCCAGTGTTTATCAATGGCTATACATAACTGTTGCAACTGTTTATTATAAATATGGACATGATTTTTACAAACATATTATATGTAAAATAATTTTCTTAACATAAGAATAACGAAAAGAAGTAATGACAATACGATAAAAAATCTGTGAGTTTACTCTGTCCTGATTCCAAATATTATGCAATGCCCTTGCGATAAAAGCAGTCGTGAAAATAAGTTGATAACAGGCATCGAAAACCATTTGTGGATCATTCCAATGATCATACAGCAGTAGTATCTGCATATGTTGAATTATGATTCGTAAATGTATTACAAGTGTGTAGTTGTAAGATCAATCGTATAAAATCGTTTTACTTATTTAGTTAACTGTTAATTTTTAATTATATACATTATGCTGCTAAGATTTGTGCAATAATATTATTATACAGATCTGCTTTACAATGATAATAATATTTTGATAGACGGATCGTTATGAATGTCAGTAGGATGTGTTAAAACATTATCAAATCAATTATATGTATATCGACCGACATACATTACCTCAAACGGATAGTAACTTATTTCCATTAGCAAGCAGACAGTCCGTAATGAATTTCTTACATTCTTACTTTGAAACAGCCAGAGACCTGAGATCGATAAAAATACTCGATTTATGTTGTACTCTCGCAGAAAATTCGCTAGCATCACTAATACTTGCTCTCCGATATACAAAGGTGTAATGTTACAAAGCGTATTGTCGACTGATCACAGATACATATTTGAACATACAAATTGCAGACAAGAAACACTATGTCGTGCGATGTCAGTAATTGTCAGTAATTATCTCTCTCTTCCCCAATGATCAATATGTGTCTATGTAGCGGTACTAAACCATCACTTTGATCATCTTCAAAAGTTTTTTCTGTTGAACATCTAGTATTATATTTGTACATCTAGTATTATATAGTAACATAAGTACAGTATGGGTAAATTATAGTGTAGCGCATATTGAAACGAGATGATTGAGGGTGACAATAATAGCGAAGTAAACGCAAGGTGCTTTCTTGTTTTCTAGCTGTAATAAAAATTCTTTTCTAGAATATTTTTTTTAGTCGATTTTAAATACTTTCGAATACAAGCGAGTTTCTTTGAAAATACTAAATAGAAATGAAGCAATATCGAGTAAATCCGAAATTATATGTAATCATCCAAAGAAACAGCTAAAAAAATTACAAAAATATGAAAAGAGGAGGTAAGATTAAATTAAAAATTTTTTAAATTAAATGTATCATTGAAATACAATTTATTGACATTAATTAGAGCATATCAAAACATACAGAAATGGTGAATAGTTAGTTGAAAATTGAGTAACATTATTCACTGAATGACCTAAACGCTGCAAAGTAAGACATGGCAATTCGTACCACCTTAAATCGAATATAAAAATAGACATGAATTGCTTTATATATATATATATATGTCATAAAAAGGCAGCCTCATATATCTTTGTGCATTTTACTTACCGCAGCATAGGTCGCGATGGATAACGGAATCATATTACCTGCCTTCAATCCACATGGAATATTACTTCTGTAAAGAGTCATCATTAGCAAAGATTTTAATCGAGGCGAAAATTTGTACCATTCTACAGCATATCTGTAAGCATTAATAATAATCGCCTTTAACTAAATTTTCGAAAAAAAATTTTTTTAATGTATTTTGCAAAAGTTAAAATAATTAACTTATATAATACTTTGTATTTTAATTATATTTTTACAATGATAAGCGAAAATTAATCCAAAAAATGTTCCAGGTTCAGTCTCTAATATAATAGAAGTATCCATAATAGAAGTCGTAGTGGTCGTAGAGTCTTAAGTCGTAGAAGATGACCAATCATAGTTCTTCTCATATTTGACTGTGATTGGTTAATTTTCGATTACTTAAGACCTTAAGACCGCTATGATTTCTATTGTAGACTGTTTTAAAAACGGCAAATCGACGCGCAATTTACTTGAATTGAAGTAATAAAAATTCATAAAAATTTATTAAACCAAGATCGGCTTTCACTAAATATAGTTCTCTTTACTTATTTATATATTTTTTCAATTATGTTTTATTTAAAGTATTTTAAAATTGAACAAACTTTACATTTAATGGATCTTTCGAATGTGCTTGTAGCACTATATTATTATATTTATTCAAAATTTATTGTTACATTCACTAAAATATATGTGTTATAATATAAAATAAATATTACGCTCGATAAAATATATCCTGACTTTCATCCATTAATTTTTCACCAGAGTAACATATGATCATCAAGTCAGTTAACAATGCGATAAATATAAATGCGAATTTTACCAGTTGCGGCATTTGATTTAACACATAAAAAATCTGTAACAAATTAGAATTATTACATAATGGTCTGAGTAATAATTATATTTCAATTTAGAAACATTTTTTTAATTTTGCCATATGTATCGGTAAGGTTTAATATTGATGTAAATTATAATTGTACGCCTTAACCAGTACTGAAGAATTTATATTTTTTAAATTCAAAATTATTTCTTTTATATAAACTCGATTTTATGTTTTTTATCTATTATGAATCAGTTTCACATAAATGTTAGGATATGAATATAAGGAATTATATGCAAGAATAGTAAATACTAACTCGGCCGCAATAAATAAAGAAGGAAAAATCCGACTACATTATTGTTAAGCTCCTTCATTGAATTCTTGAGTAGAAGGTTTGAGAAACTCGCTCGACTCAATATTAAATGAAACAAAAGTTTATTTGGTTTAATACAAGAAATTTCCATAGATTCGGAACAATTCAGTTCTTCAAACAAAATACATTTGCCCAAAGAGCGACAAACAAACGCGCTTAATCGATCAATGCGAGATGCGGTTAAACGCGTATCACAACAATTATGAGTTTGATTGTTTTGTATGATTGCGTATTTGTAATCCATTATTATATAAATCTCTCTTTTTGTAATTCCTCTAAAATATTTCTTCGGGATATTTTATAGAAATAATTTCTATAATACTTACTCGAACTCCGATTAGACTTATATTTCCGAGAAGTAATAGTAATAAAAGTAATGAAAGTCCTTGAAATGATGATTCCAATATATTAACGAATCTAGATTAAAAATTTACAGGTTACGTTAATCCATTGAAGTTAAGGGGAGGGAGAAAGGAGGAAACATTTTATTCATAGAAAAACAAGATGTAGTATAAAACTTGCTTACTCTAAAGCAAACTGATGTTTCTTTAAACATATTATATATTCCCGGTATATTATTTCCTCATTAAATGGATTAAGCTCCATATTCGCACGATATCCACATTTGTTAATCTTAGTGTTATTATAGGCTTTGGAAATTATATTCTCAATTTGTTTACTGTAAAAATGATATCTTGCAAAAGTTAAATAAAATATATGTATAATGTATGTACGAAAAATGAAACACATACGTCATACAATATATGAATAGAATATGTATACAAAATGTATACTAAGGTTATAAAATACTTAAAACAATACTATTTACCATATTTAATTGATCTACCTGACAGCGGCAAATAAACTACATGCATGAGCGGTGCACGTGATGTGCATTGAATCAACACCAATCAAAATGTTCACACCTATTAGAACTACAATGGTAGTGTAACAAAATATTAGTAAAAAGTAATCATCTTTATTCACTCTGAATTCGATTTCGACCGCAAAGACTCGCGGACGTGATTCATTAAGAGGTAGCACTGTGTCTAACAATACTGGTATTAATGGTATTGTCATAAATATTAACACTAGGAAAAACGATAGCACTGCAACATTTCGAAAGAATAATGTGTGTTTGTTCACAATAATATCAATTTGAAGTATTTTAGAGCAACATCATTATTTTTCTTAAAAAAATTGATAATTGTATCAAATAGGGGACCCCCCCTCCTATGATCTTGACCTTGATATATATTGTCAAGGTCATGATCCTAAATAATCTCCATCAGGTTTTAGCAATCGCTCGTCCTTCATTAAAAAATTATTAACAAAAGAAGTTTGAAAATGTCTCTTTTCTACTATATAAAATAGAAATTTTCTACTTTAAAATATATTTTACAACTTTCCATGCGAAGCTACTCTCACCCCACCTCCCCCACTGCTTAGGGGCGCACGATTTCTACGCGAAGCGAAAACCGTACAAATTTTTTCGCATGGAAGTCGTACGCTCTCAAGCAGAGGGGGGGAGATGGAATGGGAGTTGCTCACGTGGAAGTCGTACAACCCCAAACACAAGAGAGGTGGGATGAAAATAAAAATCTTCGTTTTATATGGTAGAAAAGAGACATCATGTTTCAAACTTCTTTGTTAATAGAAAGTCCTTTTTCATGAAGGACGAGCGACGGCTAAACCTTATTGGCGGTTACTCAGGGTCATGACCTTGACAACATATGTGAAGGTCATAGGAGGGAGGTCCCTTATTATATATAAAAAAAAAACCTGTTATTATATAACAAAAATGTTATATTTTTTTCATAACTTAACTTTATAACGTAGCAAATGTCATGTCTATACTTATAGTCTCAATTTATTTTAGATCATAAAAATTTTAGTTATTTTATTTTGTTTATATGACATAGTTATTCTACATAACGTACTTACTCGAGAAAACTATTGTGAACCTTCGTGACAGCATAGCGTAATCTTTCATGATTCGAACTTCCACATCACTTGTAAATATGTCCCAGTGTTTATCAATGGCTATACATAACTGTTGCAACTGTTTATTATAAATATGGACATGATTTTTACAAACATATTATATGTAAAATAATTTTCTTAACATAAGAATAACGAAAAGAAGTAATGACAATACGATAAAAAATCTGTGAGTTTACTCTGTCCTGATTCCAAATATTATGCAATATCCTTGCGGTAAAAGCTGTCGTAAAAATAATTTGATAACAGGCATCGAAAACCATTTGTGGATCACCCCAATGATCATACAGCAGTAGTATCTACATATGTTTAATTATGATTCGTAAATGTATTACAAGTGTATAGTTGTAAGATCGATCGTATAAAATCGTTTTACTTATTTAATTAACTGTTAATTTTTAATTATATACATTATGCTGCTACATTATAAATTATATCTTGTGATAATAAGATTTGTGCAAAGCAATATTATTATACAGATCTGCTTTACAATGATAATATTATTTTAATAGACGGATCGTTATAAATGTCAGTAGGATGTGTTAAAACATTATCAAATCAATTATATGTATACCAACCGACACACATTACCTCAAACGGATAGTAACTTATTTCCATTAGCAAGCAGACAGTCCGTAATGAATTTCTTATATTCTTATTTTGAAACAGCCAGAGACCTGAGATCGATAAAAATACTCGATTTACGTTGTACTCTCGCAGAAAATTCGCTAGCATGATATTTGCTCTCCTATATACTAAAACGTAATGATATAAAAGGTACACGATCGATTAACTGTTGAACAATACAGGTTGCAGGATAAGAATATAATATCGTGCGATGTCAGTAATTGTTAGCCTATCTCGTTTCTTCGATGATTGAAATATATCTACTTGTCGATATTAAACTATCACTTCCATCATCTTCAAAAGCTTTCTGTTAAACATTTTTCTAGTTTGAATAAATGAAAGTGTC